GGGACCCGGAAGGGCGAGGCTGGCAGCTACGTGCCGTTGAGCGCTAGTGAAATGGTGGCCGCGGAGCGCATGAACTGGCGCCCGTGCGCGTCAGGGCGCATGCGCGCAAAGTTATGCCCAACAGGTGTGTGTGTATGTATAAAACCTAACACCATATGGTTCTTCCTTATTCCACGTATCATGTCCTGTTTCCATAATGACAGCTTGGTCCCACTAACATCAATCTGTTATTCATCGACACAGTCATGTTGATACATTCAAAATAGTTCCAAAATTGCTAGAGCAAGACTCTATACAAAATTGTTCCCAACTAACTAAATAGAAAATTCAAAATTTATTTGCATTCTTTACAACCTTAATATATCCCAGTAAGGGCATAAAATCAGAACTGTGGTCTAGGATTACATTTTTTTTTTAACCTTTTGTTTAGTTATTTTATCAATTTGGTAAGAATAGGTCTGTTTCTATTTGTATTCAGTTTTGGTTCCCTCCCTTTGGCCCTAGTACTTACTGATTTCATTTTATTTTTTGAATAAATAAAAGTTTAGCATGGTTTAAAAGCCATACTATATAAAAAGGTATACATATACCTTAGAAGACCCTTCCCTTTTGATCCCTGACATCCTGTCCTCAACCACCCCCTATAGGTAACCAGTATCTTTAATTTCTGGTTTATCCTTCTGATATTTATTTTTGTAGATGTGTGTGTGTGTATGTGGATAGAGATGTATGTATGTATATAAACATATAGATATATGTGTGTGTGTGTGTGTGTGTATATATATATAAAAACTATTAAAGCCTTTTCAGGTATTGTGGAGATATTTTTATGTATACGGGTTGAGTTACTGTAAGGATCCAACTTTTAGTGGTAGAACTATATTGAAGAACATGCTTAAGTTTTGCTTATAGATGGTGCTGTGGATGCTAGTAAACATGCACACATGCGCACATACTTGCATGTGTGCTTTCCTACATAAAAGCATACTTTATTATATATTGCTTGTTAGCACCTTGGTTTTTTTTTCTGTTTTTTCTTTTCACAGTTATTTTCTGAAAATAACTCCTATCAATCCATAGAAATCTCACTCTGGCTGCTATACAGAAAATGAATTACAGGGAAATCAGTAGAAGTAGCAACAAGTTAGGAAGCTATTGCAGTATTGTGGATCAGAGATGGTTGATGGCTTGGACTGAAGTAGTACTGGAGATAGAAAAGAAATGTTTGGATTAAATAGGAATGTCTAAGAGTTCTTTGTAAAAAAATTGTGTATAAATGCAGGATGTTAATTATTATCACCTAAAATATTAATTACTATTTTTTAGATGCAGAAGGAATTGCTTGACACAGAACTGGATTTATATAAGAAGATGCAGGCTGGAGAAGAAGTCACTGAACTTAGGAGAAAGTACACAGAATTACAACTCGAAGTATGTTTTATCACAGCTACACAGTACAGTTTAAAGGAGCAGATGTAGTTGTAGTGATTAATTTGAAAACATGTTCTCTTCATTCTCGTCAACAATTGTTGGTAATCCCTGACGTACATATTGGGTTGTTGATGTAGGAGAAGGGGAAGAGGTTAACAGATTTTCAGAGCTACTAGAGAAAATCATAATAATTGAGGAGTAGCAGTAGTTCTCCTTATCCATCGAAGTCCCTCCATTTCTAGTGAATTTTGTTCCCTGTGCATTTTTGGTTTTTTCTTCTCCCTGGGACTGAAAACTATGAAAGGATTTTCAGGTATTCTTATGGAGATATTTTTTGCATATGCAGGCATATTGAGTTGCTGTAAGGATCAGACTTTTAGTGGTAGAAGTATATTGAAGAACATGCTTAAGTTTGGCCTATAGGTGGTGCTGTGGATGCTTGTAAAAGAGAAAATACTTTCTTACAAGTTAGTTACGTGGCTATTTATGTAAGAAAAAAACTCCTAGTGAAATTGACTGCTATTATATGACATAAGAATTTTTAGTAAAAATGTTTAAAAATATGTTTAAAAATTGGAATTACATATTGAAGTATAGAGACATTAATGTCATTAATATAGTTGGTGTATTTCTATATCATTGTCTGATACAATTTAAATTTTTTGTATTTTAGATTATTTTGCTTAATCTGGGAATAATGCTTTTTTTTCCCAAATTTGGCAACTTGATCTTTTGTTTGTTTGCTTGACATGGTAGAAATCTACATCAAGTACTGCCATCCAAGTATTAGACTTAACTTTAGTAGCAACTGGACTTTTCTTAAGGCCCTGTCTTGCCTGAAAGTCATAAGAAGCCATTGGATGTTGTCCTAAACCTGAATACATTTGCATTCTCTGGAAACTTGGCCTGGTTGCATGTGTCCTGCCCAGGACAATAGGTTTTGAAAAAGATAGATTTCTTTTATGTTAATATAGAAATTATATTTTCCCCATTGTGGATAGTTCATGCCGGTGTTGGTGAGACTTTAAAAACAAAGTATTGTTTTCAGAATTCTGGCCCATAACTTTAGTAAGTAAATAATAACATTACCAACATTCTTTATTGGCCCATATTTTGCTGCTTTATTATGATGTGGCTAAACACCAAATGACATTTTATTTTTCTTATGATGGCTTACATTTAATTTGCAGTTAATATTAGAAAATGTGGTAATGCATTATTTCCCAGAGCATGTGCATTCACCATAGTAATTCCACTAGTTGTAAATAGATATTAGTGAAAAGAGGTTCTGAGACCAAATAAATTTGGAAAAGGTTGTATTAAACATGCTTTTTGACCACAGAGTTTCTTACAGGCTTTTCATTTGTGAATCTAAAAAAAATATGCATTAAGTATTCAGTGTTGCTCAAACTTATTGGTCCATGGAACCCCCTTTTCAAGAAGCATTTTGAAACACTGGTATTCCTCAAAGTATATTTTTGTATATGCTCTTCTGTTATTAACATTAATCCTTGTCCTTTTACGTTTATGTATTTTAATTATTTTTTATTTTTGAAATTGACAAATGAAAAATTGCATATTATGGTATATAATGTGATGTTTTGATACATATATACATTGTGGAATGATTATATCAAGCTAACATATCCATCACCTAACATACTTAATATTTTCTGATGAAAATAGAACATTTAAATCTGCTCTCTTAGCAATTTTCAAGTATATAATGCATTATTATTAGTTATAGTCACCATGCTTTACAGTGGATCTCCAGAAGTTATTTCTCCTGTCTAACTAAAGCTTTGTACCCTTTGACCAACGTCTCCCCATTCTCCACATCGCCACAACCCCTGTAACCACTGTTGTGTTCTCTGCTTATATGTGTTTGATTTGTTTAGATTTCACATATAAGTGAGATCATACAGTATTTGTCTTTCTGTGCCTGGCTTATTTACTTAGCATTATTATTGAGATTTTAGATGATAATTTTAGCTAATGTTACAATTAACTGTCTTGAGATGAAAAAACTGAAATTCTTACACTAGCAGAGATCTAGCAGTTGTGCCTCCTTGACATTTCTACTTGCATATCTCACATCCTCAGTCTCAACATGTTAAAAAATTCTGCTTATCTTGCTTCTAAATCCCATCTGTACAATTTTATTTTTTCCCCCTTTTTGTCTCTTTTTTCGTGGCCGGCAACGGATCGCAACCCTCAGTGTCGCGCCCATACCGGACCGGGACCAGCAATGGGATCGCAACCCTCGGCGTTGCCCCCGCACCTCACTCAGCCAGTGAGCGGCCGGTCTGCATGTGGGATCCGAACCCTCGGCGGGAGCGCCACTGCGCTTCCCAAGCGGCGCACTATAGCAGTGCGCCACCGGGCCGGCCCCCCATCTGTACAATTATTCAAACCAGCAGTCTTAATAGATTCCTTTCCTTCAGTGTCCATATCCAAGGGAGCGCCACTGCGCTTCCGAAGCGGCGCACTATAGCAGTGCGCCACCGGGCCGGCCCCCGATCTGTACAATTATTCAAACCAGCAGTCTTAATAGATTCCTTTCCTTCAGTGTCCATATCCAATTAATTGTGAAGTTTTATGTGTGTTACTCCTAAATATCTTAAATATGTTTTCTTTTCTTTATCTTCTTTGCCACCACTATAGTACAAACTTCCATTTTCAGGTGCTGGGACTACTGTAATAGTATACTGACTTGTTTCCCAGCTTGTTGTCTTCTTCTACTCTGTTCTTAAAACTCTAGCCATAATATAATTTTCAACACTAATTACATCACTCTATTTTATTGCTTCAAATCTTTTAATTGATTTTCATGGCTCCTGGGATAAAATTCAAAATCCTTAACTTTTTCTTTAATGTAATGCATAATCTGACCCTGCCCATCTCTCCAGCCTTATTTCTCCATCTAGCTGTACTGTATTTTATTTATTCTTTGGTAAACCATGTTTCTTTCAGCCTTGGTACCTTTTTCATGCTGTAGCCCCACCTCATTCTTGCTATTTCTGTACTTTGTACCTTCTTTGATTGATAGAACAAATATTGAGTACAGTCTGCCAGCTACTGCTTTATTCCCAACACCAATAGTGTTATATTTATAATAAAGCAGAGAATAAGACAGGGAAAAAAACACCTTCAAGGAACTTCATTCTACTGGGTTATTCACTGCAAATCTTTGAAGTTCTGTTCAAATCTTTAAGTAAAGCACTTTCTCACCCTTTAAGTCACTTCTCATTAATGTAGTTAAATAACTTAGTGATTTAATTTTTCTTTACCCCTCTAGGATTTGAATTTCATGAGGGTAAAGACTTACACACAGGAAGTGCTCATTAAATATTTGTGGAATAAAGGAGTGGTGTGTTATTCATATAGAGTGATATAGCAGAATATAAATTAGTATGCTACATAGGTTGTATAATGATGTTAGTGATAAGTAATCAAAATAATGAATTTGACGTAACTGTACTACTGAAGTCAACAAGCAGACAAATAGAAACATATTTGAAAGTCATAACTGAAAAAATACATTTATTATATATGTAGGCATTATATATTTATTTATTAACCTGACTTCTGAAGTAACATCCAGCACTGCATATCATTTGAAATCAAGAGTTGCTGGTCATTTTGTGAAATATCATAATGTCTTAGAGAGCAAGAACTTAGTAGAAAAAGGGTATATTGAGTAATTTTAAAACCTTAAATTAATGTTATTTTGTTGTCCAAATCCATCAGCTACCTAAATTTGTTTTCAATTTAAAAACTAAAACCCCAGCTTAAATTATATGTTCCTTTTATAGGGTATTATTTGAACATGATGTCAAATTGCATAAAAGTTTGACTCTTCTGCCAAAATATAACACTTGGCTTAGATTAGCAATTATAACACTATTTAATTTATGGGTCTGATCTCTTCTAGGCTGCAAAACGAGGGATTCTTGCATCTGGTCGGGGTAGAGGAATTCATTCAAGAGGTCGAGGTGCAGCTCATGGCCGAGGCAGGGGTCGAGGTCGAGGGCGAGGTGTGCCTGGTCATGCTGTGGTGGATCACCGTCCTAGGGCATTGGAAATTTCTGCATTTACGGAGAGTGATAGAGAAGACCTTCTTCCTCATTTTGCGGTACTTTCTTATGGCCCAACAAAACAAATACTGATAATCACTGTTGGGAATAATAGATATAATTAAAGAGGAAATTATAAAAATGATATGAGTAATTTAAACTAATGTGAACAAAGGTTTGATTAATCTATAATAATCTTTTGTTATTTAAAAATCAGCAACTGTAGGTTTTTTATTTAATTATCTAGAAGAAATGTTATTCTTATACTTGGTAGGCTTTCAGATATTGTGAAATGACTGATTTAAACTCTTGTTTTAGAGAGGGAAGCCTGTAGTTTAGTCTTATTTGATACTCACTTTAAAGGAAAAATTTAATGTCACATTGGCCATCCAGATTGTTTAAAAAAATTTAAATGGAATTTTATATTTGCTGATATTATATTCTTGAACTCTAGCTGACCCAGAATTGAAATAAGACAAAATTTTGATATATGATGTTGTAGTTGCTTTAGTCAGTGCTAGGGTATTGTTAAAGGGAGTCTATCTAATGGTAATAGATTGATCAATGAGAAAGGAGGATGGGATTCTAGTACCTGCTAATCCATTATTTAACTTGGACTTGCTGGGATTTATTAGGCTCGTGCAGAGTGGAGAAGATTATACCTGCCTAAAGGCCCTTTCAGCTAAAATGTTGTGATTCTTAGTGTTACCCACAGGTTAGTTACTAAGCATCAGTTTTACCCTCAGAATTCCATTAAGTGCTCTGGAGATATGAAGGAAATACCAGTTCTTTACTCCCAGGGCTTTTGCATATATTTGTTTAACACAAACCAGTTAAAACAAACTGCAAACATAACTTATAGTCAAGTTCAATTTATTAAACACTATAAATATTTCAGTAACTTTAGAGAAGTGTCTTTCACACTGGCATATGTGGGGGAAAAAAGTGTAGTAGAAGAAAGTTTCATGAGGTAGTAAAACTGGAGTTTAGATCTTAAAGGATAGATAAGCTTGTAGACAGGTACGCAAATGACCTTTTGAAAATTCAGACTTAAGCGTTTGACACTCATATTCCAGGCTTGCTGCAGTGACAACTTCTTTATCAAGACATAAAGAGGTACTGAAAGACATGGTTTATGTTTAAGAAATAACTAAAATAATTAATATTTAAGGATGAGGAGTCTGGAAAGTCCTGTGCTTGATGAATTCAAAGGGATAAAGAAAGGAATCAGAGAACTAGAAAGGAGTTTGGAGATAATCTAGCCCAACTCTTCCCTTCCTTCCACAAGGGAAAGGAGATCTAGATAACTTAAGTGTCTTGTGTATAGTAATACAGCTAATCAGAAAACTAGCTGTGAATATGCTAAAATAATCCAAATGAACAAGGTGAGTTTGTTATGATTTTATTTTGGTGAGACTAAGATAGCTTTGGTTTGAGAACTATTCAGAGCCTCTAAATGGAAATTTTTACGTGCATTTGGATATTTGAACTCAACTCAAAAGTTAGCATTGGTAATTCACTTTTAAAAATTATGTCTTAAATAAGAGCGCAGGTTTAAAGTTTAGCCTCACTGTCTCAACCTGTGATTTGAACACATGGTAGATATCAGAGAAAAAACCTACATTATTAAAGGACCGCTGATTATTACAGCTTGTGATTAACAAAATGATTTATTTTTCCCCTGGGACTGTTAATAATAGTAATGAAAATTATAACTAAAGCCTATAGAGCCCTTACTTTTTGCCAGGTATTATTTTGAATGCCTTATAATAATTTATTATATTATGAATTATTTGTATAGCCCTATGAGATAGATACCTTTAGTATGCCCATTTTAGAGATGAGGAAAATGAAGCATGAAAATTTGTTCAGGTTTACATAGCTGGTAACTGATAGATCAGAGATCTCAGTAACTCTAGAGTCTATTCTCTTTACTATACAGAGTTTTTCTCTATGATTTGTGTGTGTATATTTAATGAGATTATGGTTATAATTTTGAGGTAAGAAGGAAGGTACTCGGATTTTATGTGGTAAAGGTTGCTGATTGTAGAAAAATCCTTCTACATATGGGGAAAAAATTGCAACAAACCAGAACAAGCATAATGTAATGTGTTTAGCTTTTAAATGTGGACTATATATAGTAAGTGAAAGCATGGTCAGTTAGAATGTTAAGCTTTTGAATTAAGAGATCTGGACTCTGATACTAATTGACTGACTTTGGTAAAAATTACTTAAATTCTCTGAATCTTTTTTCCCCCCATTTATTGGGAATGGTATCAGAAATTGATAGAATGTTCTGAGGATGCAGTATGCTGCTTAAGGAAGAATTTAGCATACTATGGGATTGGAGTGATGAGTATAAGAGGAAAGTCAGTAAGGAAGCTCAGGCTTTGATCATTGTTTTCTTCATTTGAAAAATAGTTCAAGTTTCACTAATTCTGGAAAGTGTGGGATAGTATATAAGATTGGAAGATAGGACCACCCTTTATCTTACAATGTCAAAGTACTAAAATGAATTATTCACCATTCTTTTCTGTTAACGAGTTTGAATTGTTTTATATTCTGAATTATATTAGTATTTTAATGTTTTAAATACCATTAGGATTTTTGGGTGCTTCAAAATATTTATTTGGAGGAAATACTTTTTTCTAATTTAAAGCAATATGGTGAAATTGAAGATTGTCAGATTGATGACTCTTCACTTCATGCAGTAATTACATTCAAGACAAGAGCAGAAGCTGAAGCTGTAAGTATTAAACAACCAGAAATTTAGATAAATGATTATAAATATTACTTTTAAGTTTTAATGTAAATGAGTTTTTTAACTTTCTAAATAACTGTGCTTTGACAGTAAGTAGAACATTTGAAATGGAATTCATGCCCACGAAGACTGTCCTAATGCAGTTAAGCAATTCTATATATAACATATGATTAGAATATAGTTAGTCACCAAGTTGAATGTCACATTGTATTGTCTTGCCACACCAGGAATTCTACTTCCTTTCTTTTTCACAGGAGATAGGCCACCCCACTTTCTGTTATTATTTCTTTCAAGTGACCCAGAACAAGGTCTGCTTTGGCAGAATGAATGGTGAGGGATAAGGTAGAAACTGAGTATAATCCTGATGTCTGCCCTTCTAAACCGTCCCTCATCTGCTGCTTCTCAATCCCAGCAGGCTGAACTCTAAAGAAATGTTTCTAACTCAATGTACCCCCAACCAGACCTCTACTACTTTTTTTTGCCCAACATGGTATATAACTCTAGCTTTTAGGTTTCTCTTAGTATAGTTGTCTTAAACTGTATCTTGAATTGTCTTTCCAAAGACTGATCAGAAGTATATGCAACCTTGTGTTTCTTTTGGGTTTAAAAATTTTTTTAAAGGAAAATGGGAGTGAGGTGTGGGGGATTCATAAAAGGAAAATGGGAGTGAGGTGTGGGAGCCATTTTAGTCCTTTGTGTTCTTTCTTCAGAAATTGTAGAGAAGACATCATAACTATTTTGTCCTTGTCATTTTTCCAAGGATGTAATAGTTTCCCAAACAGTTAACCACATTTATGTGAATGGAAGAATGAGATGCTTTTTAGAAGTTTTAAGTTGATTGTGATCTAAATAAGTTTTGAAAAACCTTCTAAATTGATTTATCCTCTTTGTAGTGAATACGCTCCCTGCCAGCACAATGGTACATTGTTAAGGCTTACCTTGTAGGAGTTGTTCTCAGGGCATTGTAACCATTGTAAGACTGTGGGTCTGTTAAGTCTCAGAAGTGTTTGGCTAGAGCCCTGGAATGATGTGATTTTGGTTGTTGGTGGTGAGGGGCTGAGGGTAATGAATTATTTTATAGCATAGGAATTCTTGATCCTAGAGTTTTATCTTTTAAATCTAGTTTTGAGTAACTTCATTTAAAGATCTTTTGTGAAAGTTAAAAAGTAATTTGTAATTGGTGAGAGTTTAAAACTTTCTTGTAAACCATATGTGTGTGTATGTTATATTGAAAAAAGTAGATTTTTGATTGAGTTTTCTCTCAAAGGTATTGTTGAGTACAAGTTTAGAATAAGCTTCCTTTCAATGATGGCTTCAGTAACGATTTTCAGTCTTTTATTAGTTAGTCTATTTGAGTAGTATCTGTATGTTCTGTTTATTTTCTAGGAAGAAGAGATAAACAATGGTAGTTATTGTATGAATGGTTAAAATATTACCAAGTTTGTGGATTTAGTAGGAATTGAAAAAAATATGTACTACTCCCAGCTTATTTATATGGCTAAGAAAAAAAAAAAAAAAAACTATCCTGCCTCTTAGATAATTTTTGGAAGTTTTGCTCTTGGTAAGACCTGTTAACATAAACCTCCTTTCTTGGGTCTTGCTTTTTCTACTTTAGATGTATATCTTTATATGTTTTTACAATGTGTATATGTAGAGCTAGGGCTAGGGTCTGACAGTCACAGACCCCTTGAACCCATTCACAAACCCTTCACGTGCAGGTCTATGAGCTAGGTAACTAGCAAAAAGGTCCTTGGAGCCTTGGTTGAAGAAGGAATAGTCTTTATTCAGCACACACACATCTAATACCTAGGCAATCCAAAGAGAAACTCTGAACCTCAACTGCTACTGGCAAAGTCCAAAGAAAAACTGAGCAGCTGCCAGCAGAGTAAGTATAGTCTATTTTCAGACATGAGCTCTGCGGGCCAGCTTCAGCTTCACAAACTGAAGAACACATAGTAACAAAACTAAAAAGATATATTGAGGCACATGCGCATTAACTCCACCCACACACAACTTGTTTACAAGAAATGTCGAGAGAGCCTGACTAAATTATTCTATTTTCCCCACAGTATATTTTCCAGAATGAACGGCAATCAGTTAAAAAGACCAGGGGTCAGTGTATAAGAAAGTTTAACACAGAATTGTATGAAGGTTGAATAAATGGCAGAATAACTAAGGTCAAGATAGGCCTAATAAGAGTTACCTATTCAGGGCAAATAACTATTTTTGTTGGATTTACAGCAGTAGGCTGAAAGGAATAACTACCAGTGCTGTGATGAACATTTGGAATTTAATTGTAAAAGTTGTTAAACAATAAAAATTTCCTTAACCCCAAAAATTTCTTAAAATTTTGTAACATTCTATTTTGAAAGTGAAAGAAAGTTAAGTTAAAGCTTATTTTATACAAATGGGATATTGAGTAGAGCAGTGGTTTTCAGACTTGTGGATTTCAGGGAACAGTAAAGTTAGGAATTTAAAAACTTAGGGTGTTTGCCAGGGGGCGCCAGTTTTTTATTTTGCCAAGGAGTAATGCTTTAAAAAATATGATTGCTATGTACTGTCACCATCATTATATAAAATAAGTTTTAACACCAAAAATGTAGGAGGGCATGAACTCCAGATAAAGGATAGGCCTTACCAAGAAAAGAAATCTGTTAACTTTTGCCAATGTTTATTTCCAAATATTACGTTGTTCTTATTTTCTGGACCATTGTCTTAGATGATTGAATGAATTTCTCTTTATTTTCTATAATCATTAGATGTATAGTATTTCAAGGTGAAAGTATAAAAATAAGGTAATTGAGACATTCAGGTATAAGTGAAAAGTAAGAAATTTTTCCCAGGAAAAAGATTGAAGCATTTTGTAGAGTAAGAATATATGCAGAACACTTTTAGCTTTGCATTAAGATGGTTATGGTTTGACTCTAGTTAGTTAGAAGATGGTTCCTGGTAATTTTCTATTTTCCTGTTTGTCTATCACCATGCCAACACACTAAAGTTGGATAAGTACCCAAACAGGACAGAAAGAAGTAGCCACTTCTCATGACTGATTAGAATGTTATTTTTTCTACTTTGAATTGTTCCTGTAACTTTGTAGATCAGGATGTTGTTTTCAGAATAGGGATGGTTAAATTCTTATTTTAGCAAAATTAGTCCAAAGTTGAAACCTGTAATCTCATACTCAAAGAAGTGTAGTTTTTTATATCAAAAGCAAAGAATCTCGTTCTACCGATACATTTTTTGATACCCATCCCTCAGCTCCCAGTAGTTATGAGAATTTACTGATTCAAAACATGTAAGGTACTAAGAAGAGTGCCTGAGACAGAGTAAGTCCTCTTACTGTTAGCTATTATTTATGTTACTGTCGTGGGTTTTTCAAAATGAGGAATGATTAGTAAATCAATGAGACACAAGATAGAGTAAATGAAAAACTCTCATTCTTTGGACCTGAGGTTAGAAGTGTAGAATTGGGTTCATAGAGAATAGTGCCAACATCAGCAATCAAAAGAAGCCGATGGTGCTGATTGAGTAAATGGCATATTTATAGCAAGGACAATATGGGTACGTGGATTCAATCAAAAGAAATCAAATTATGTATGTAGCAGAGTTTTGTGTCTGTGTGCTTTTACTGATTTACTTAATAGTTATTAAATACTGCTATATGATAGGCACTGTGCTACGAGAATTAGTAACTCTAGGCCTGAAGTTTGTGAGAAAGTGGCGCCATGTGTCTTGAACTCAATAATTAAAGTCTTTCCTTATAAATTCTGAAAAATAGATTTTACTTTTTTTTTTTTGTATTTGTGGTCATTTAATATAACTCTTGCCTAAACACTGTATTACTGTGGTTATTGCAAATATTAATAAACTTGCTTTTAGCCACTTTTATAGATTAGTTTTATCATTATCTTTACCAAAAATGTGAGGATTGCAGCTTCAACTCTTCTGTAATTATCTATATTTTAGGTTAGTTTTCCCCAGTTTTTGCTGAACATTGGTTCTGCAAGAGCTCCCCTAACAAAGGATTCTCTTATCTGATAAGCTTGTGAAAGGCTATATTTTGTATATTCCATTCAGAATCACAATGTAAATTACTTAAGAAGTCAGAAGGTAAACAAACCTGTTTTAATTTTGCTTAACCCAGCTTTTTTTCAAACTTAATTATTTTCAGAACCATTTTTTTACAAGATGTGGAACCCATATCATAATTGTAATAGTTTTTTCTTTCTTCTTCATCAGATCTTCAGCTTTTTTTCCTTCTGTTTTCCTTCTTCCTAATTTTCTGTAAGCAATAAATAGTCAAAGGGTAGAGGCAAGGCTGTAAATAAAAAGCTAAAACAGACTTTTTTTACACGTAGAAATTAGAATTGTAAAATGAATTTCCATATGCTTATCATTGAGCTTCACTGGGAGAATTAACATTAATACTAAGTCTTCCAATAGAACCTCATTGTCTTTCAAGTTCTTCAGTCTTTTTTTATCCTCTAAGATCACTTCAAGTTTTTCGTTATACAGTCATTTTGCTCATTAGTTTTAAGGTTTTCTTTATGTAGACCATGTACAACTATATTGCTCATAAATTTCACCACCAATAGTTTATCTGCTTATTGCTATTCTAAATGAAATCTTTTCTTCCATTATATTTTGTACTGATTGTAGGAAAACTATTCATCTGTTTTTATTAAATGTGTAACTGCCATGTTACTAAGATCTTTTGGTAGTTTTAATTTTGTTCTGTTGGGTTTTTCAGGTATTTATTCAGTCATATCAATAAATAATGATAGTTTTCCAGTTATTTCATAGTAAGTACCTTTAGAAAAATGTTAAAAACATTAGTAATAATAGTGTCTTGTTCATGAAAATGGTTCTAGTAGTTTTAGTATTATGTACGATGCTGGCTTTTTTGTGTTAAGGTAGAATACAAACTACAGTATTCCTGATTTATTAAAAACTGTGGACACTTGGAGCGTGGTGCTGATAACACC